TCATAAATGAACTAAGAGCAGAAAAATGACAATCATGTTCTTTGAACCTAGACGTCTCCATGTGCTCCATGTGCTATAGGACAATAGAGTTGATTGCTATTTTGTACTTTTCTCTCATATTATAAACACAAAGGTCTTCAAACCAAAGAAGACGGTCTAGGCCCCATACACTCATATCAGAAAATGAAAGAATCTAAACAACGAGTATCCGAATATATTTCATATTCTAATTAAACACACCATAGATTACTATAGTTATGATCAAATAACAGAGAAAATGTTGAAAAACTTTTCATTATGATTTGGAAAAAAACTCCCAAGAAAAAGCTCGATTTTCTCTCAATTGGTTTTACTAAGCATATCTTGAACATTTTAACTACTTTTCACAAAGAGGAAAACACACAAGCTTTATGATATGAAACTGACCATTTAGAACAGCTTGTCCGTATGAGCTATTGCGAGACATTGGAATCTCATGAGAAACCATGGATGCTTTCTCGTCTTTTCGCATCGAACCTCTCCTCGAAGGAACAGGAGAAAGCAAGCCATGAGAGCTAAGTCTATGTTTTGGTGGTGGTTGTTCATCCGCTTGTGGTGATAACAGAGGTTTTGTAACACCAGGTAATGACTCCGGAGTATGTCTTCTTATCAACGAAGAATTCATAAAAGAGCTTCCGAATCTCGTCATCGAATTGTTTCCCAAAAAACCGATATTCGGAGATGGTACACTACTGTAAAGATCAATCGACTGCCTACAAAACAACATTACCAAGAACCAACCATATTATAAGATCTTAAAAAAAGGTCCAATTTTTGTTACAGAATGCATCAAATCAAACAATCATTGCCTATTCAATTTGAGCAAAAAGACATAAACTTTGTGGCTAACAAATCACAATAAGATTGAAATGGGGATAGAGATAACAGACCTGTAACTTTGAGGCCAAGCAGTAGTGTACGAGCTAGGCTTAGTGTGTTGTTGATTTTCATCATAAGCATCAGAAGAATCAGAACCATTT